TTATTATTACACAGATAATCAATACTAAATGATTAATTTAATTACGTTTACAATGCATAGCAGATACAACTTGCATATACGAATATCTCATCATTTTACCCGCAGCCATTGTATTTATTTATTTATTCAATAAAAATGCAAAACAATGCAATACAAAAAATGAAAGTATGTTATTGTGTATATTTCTAACTATGTTATTCTATGATTTTGTAAAAAAAATGAATGCATTTATTATGTCATTCCTTATAAACATAAAAGAATTACATGTATAAGTGTATCTAAAATATATTTATTATTATATTATTCACTTTTGTAGACATATTAAAATTATACTATAAAGATGATTTGTTATTATTTAAATTTAAAGCCTTTGTATAAATTCAATATCAGCTCATCTTAATTGTTATTAGCTTAAAAAAATTCGTCATCTTAACCTCGTCATCTTATCCCTCCTTTTCCCTAACATATATGCACCGTTAAATGTAAATTAGTGGTTAGGTATATCAATTACCGTGAATTCGATCGTTGTGATTAATCCGTTCGACTGCCTTACGCCTGATCACTGTAATTTTCTCGCTGTCGAGGCCACAAGAGAGACGTTGATTGCGGGAGAGCGATATAGGTGATCGGTTGGGAATTTAATTATGATTTTCCTAAGTGATAGTTAATGTCATCTCAGTTTTTTTCAAGATATAGTTTTTTTCATTATACATACATGTATAACGGTTGCAGTAAAACTGATAATTTTTTAGATTTAATCGGTTGTAATCTTTAATAATATTACACGTTCCTATTAAATATACAAAAGTTAATTAACAGCACTATTGTCTATTAATTTTGTCATTAACATTATTATCCATTGATTTTACTATTTTTTATTATTTTTGTTTTATTATTTTATTATTTTATTATTTTTTTTTAACTTTATTGTCGTTTATTGAAATTTACCTGAAATAAATTCGTGCTAAAAACAAATTCAATACTTCGTCGAAAAACTTAACTGTCAATTGTAAAGTTACATGTATCCGCATGTTGAAATATTTAATTGCGCATGCAAGTAAAAAGCAGAAATAATTTTATAAAAATAAAACAAAAGTGTGTGTGTGTAAATAAAGAAAAGAGAGATCGATTCCGCATGTCTTTTCTTGAACATATTACCAAAGGACAATATATAACGTAAGAGTTACAAAATAAAAAGATACGAAATTATAATAAACGTCTTAACCTGCGATCTGACGATATTAATACGATAATTTAATGACTTTTTTATGATTTCCGATTATTTATTATATGTTTCATTGTTTCATCATTTTAATCAGAGCTGCTTTAATAATAGCCTGAAAAAAACCATATGTTTTCGAGTACAAGGGCTCCATAACGGATTACTTTATTGTGTACTTCTTTGTGTTAATCCCGAATCTGTACAAGTTCATTTTCTAGGGATCCGAGATGCCGATCGTTTACCTTTAATTATAGGGCGGCTTAAGACTCTAAATTTATCGCTAATAACGTTGCAGCGGACGTTAAGCTCCATCGTCGGCGGATCTTTACGGGTATACGCCGTGCGTACGTCACGTGTCGACGTTAAACGAATACGCGGCGGCGCGCGAATATATTCGTTCGCAGGACGTGCGTGAACAACCAAATATATACACATCGGTTGATTACGCCGGCGATCCTTCCTTTCGCGCGCGCAGCTTTAATGAAACACGCCAGAGAGAAAAAGTCGGCATAACCATAAAATATATCAACGCGCTCTCGTCGTGCTGGAATCTCTTTGTGTGAATTACGAAGGGACCAAGTATCCTAAATATGAGCAGCATGACGTTCTTGACATTCAATGCATCTCAACCAATGAGAAAAAGACGATTGTAATAAATGTAGTTGCGTAAATATCCCTATGACAATTAAAGACTCGATTATTATAAACTTCAATGTAGTTAAAATCTTTAAAAAAATAAAATTTTTGAAGATATACGCTATCAGCCATTAAAATTAACGCCAAGAAAGATGTGAGCTATCAGAATAATATCTATATGATGAATAAATATATGAAGTATGTAAGATTTAGAAATATATACTATTTTTTTATTAGAGGTTATTTATAACATTTTCATACCATCACCTACTTGTTATAAATCTCAATACTAGTCTTGAAAAGAAGAAAATAAAACCTTTCAAAATGAATACGCTGCTGATCATTAAAATTGCAACGCTAAAAGAATGAGCTATCGAAATAATGTTTATATGACAATTTTTTGTGACATGGAGTATGTGGGACTTTAGAAGTACAGCTTGGTATTTTTATTAGCAGTACAGTCTATTTTTATATGACATATTTCTATTATGACTTATTCTCCATACAAATGTCGGTCCCATATTTTCACATGTTTTCCAGTGTTGCAATTTAATTGCTTTAACGGTATACTTTTTTCACTTATAAAATAATAAATTTTAAAAAATGTATTATATATTACTTTAGGATACGAATAATCTCGGTTTATCAATCTGCACTATTTGTAAAATTTGTACATTTCATTTTCCTTCAAGCGATTATTACTAAAACGTGATCGTCAGAAACCCAACGAGATTGAATCGTTATATGCTTTGCAAACCCTTATGACTAATGCCGCTTCCGCGTAGTAGACAGCCGATTGTTTCAACAAAAATGTATTATGCACCGGTGCAGCAGCGGCGGCAGAGACCCTTCCCCTTCGTCGTAAAATATGAATTCCTCCGGTTGGAAAATTTTGCTAGAACAAGCGCTACGTACGGCTGGAAAAGCGCGGTCGTTGGGACGCGCGAGTGCACGGTGGCTTGTTATAAAAGTTCCTCCTTGTACTCGTAATACCAGAAAGTGGATATCCGTTTTCGGGCGGAACTCCGGCCACAATTAAATTTCTTCTTCTTGCGCGCACTCTTGTGTCTCGACGACGACCGACCGACTAGATTTACTTTACCTCGCGGCGGCGAATCGACTCGCAGAACCGGATGGCTTCTTCCAATGCGAAGAGTGCAATCGCGCGTTTCTGCCGTCGCAGCTTCCGCATGAATACACAAACGGTGTCGAACAAATGTCCGGATTCGGCAACATAAATATCTATTTGATATTCACCATTTGATATTATTGTATTATATATCACGAGTTATATATAATATGATCTTTCTTTCTTTCTTTCGTTCTCTTTCACGTTGAGAATGTACGTTGCTGCCTTTATTCCAGTTACAATCGGTATTTACTGCTTTTCAACGAATTATTTTTAAGAAGTCACTCAATCTCTGAGACAATTCCCAATTACACGGCGATCGGATAAATGAAACGAGATAATATGCATAACAGTTCATAATAGTTTCATAGTAGTTGAACACACACGCTTCATCTTTCCTACATTTATTTCATGTATCATTCTCCAATATGTGTTGTTAACCTGACTTTCTAATCTCGTGTATTATTCGAGACCATGACGACATCTGCAACCACAGAACTTCTCACCCCTTCAGCAATCCTCGACATTAATTTTCTCGAGGTCAAGATACCCCGTTATCTGCACTGTTAGATATGAAAGGTGCAATGTGGTATAACTCAATTTCTTGAGTTAAATAACATTTTGTTATTTTTAACTTTCATATATGTCAAAATGTAAATTAATCCATTTCCACTTAGTAATTAAATTAGTAAGTTAAATTTGAGTCAAATTTAATAAATTTTTTTTTAGTTAAATTGTTTAATTCTATTGTTTCAGTTAAATTAATGACATATTGAGTAAGAGCAGTAGCGACTTGCAGAAATGATTAAACATAACTCAAATTGGGTACAATTGGCATTACGAATTTTACAGTATATTGTAATCTATTATTGTATTTATTGTATTTTATTTATTTATTTATGTAATCTATTGTTGTTTTTGTAAGAACTAAAGCGCAATTTACTGATTGTGAGCAGGATAAAGTACTACATTTTGTATCATTTCTACTTGAATATGAAATAGATATTTATTCTAAGCTTCAATTTTAATCTTCACAATTAGCATACACAATTGGGTCATTCGTGTCCGGCGCATTTCTTTTTTTTAAAGTACTAAGGGCGGAATTTATAGGTACAAATAATTTTCAACCTTTGATTGAGAGCCTAATTAATTACAGATATCTTAAATTAATATTTCATTGATCTCTCTTTTATAAATCTGTGTTTGAAAAATCGAATACTATTTACAATTGATAATTTTTAATCTTCAATTATTTTGTGTGTGTGTGTGTGTGTGTGTGTGTGTGTGTGTGTGTGTGTGTGATTTAAATAATCATAGATTCATCAGTAAAGTTTTGACCATAATTAATGAGAACTTAACTATTTAACATTTTGTAATCTCAGAAATATGGTAATTATTTAAAAAATATCTGTTAAAATATAATTTCTTATAATAATTTGCAGATCGATATTAATTTTTTCTTTTAAACGTTTAATCGTAGTTTTATAAACTCAGTATTGTTTGTGCACATAAAGTGCTGAATGTTGAATTATTGTTTAGTTCATATGAACTATAAAACTTTTGTATTAAGGGAACATCTTCGTTAAGTAACAGCTTTACGAATTGAAAAAAATGATAAATTTTTAACTTTTTTTTTCGATTTTAGTATAAAATCCACTGCATTAAATTTTGTGTCTACTTTAATTCTGTAAAAGAATTTTTAATTCCGTTCAGTAAATTCGGAGATTTATATCTGTAAAGTCTCGACAATTTGATCACTCCATCATCCCCTTAAGAACATCTAATTAAGTAAAAGTCTCTATATCCTTTTTTTTAAATATACAATTTTATAAATACTTTCGAAAATAAAGATGTTAAATATATAAAAATTACTTAATAATTTTTGTAATATATTGTATTTGAAAAAGTGATGAAAAATAACTTGGGATACGAACGACTTATCGTGTATAGTGAAGAACCAGAAAATCATTGTGTATACTAAGGGTTAATTTACTACTAATGATTCTATTACAGATATGCCTGCTGGGCCTCGTCGTGAGCGACAACAGCACGATCGGTGATCATTCGATTACAGAGGACACTTCCGAGATCAGCAATACCGGCAACAATCTCGCGGTTGACCTCATAGATCAGGTAAAACGGTTCCTCCTTACCTTCACTCTTTACCGATCGCAATCGCCTTACTCCGCGTGACGTATGCGGTCGGATTTTCGAAACCGGTTTAACAGGTAATCTTTCGTTTCCTATTGGATCGGAAACTTGAAGAATCGCGGCCATGGTTCACGCAGGGGCGGTGAAAAGGCCAAAATGGCTTACCGCATGCTCGATCTCGCGATTCGAATAGCGCGTTCTTACTGGAGTGTACAAGTGCCAACCACACATAGAATAGGTGACGCAAAATTCGCGTTGAAATGAGGAATAGAAAGAGAATGGCGAAAGAAAGCCAGAAGAGAAAAATGTCACCGAAAGCCCCGGGAAGAATAAACATCTTTATTCACGTCGGTCGCGGACGGAAATGGGTCGCAGAAATCGGACAGCAGTGTTGTCGCGCAAAGCGTGCTTTTACTTCGCCTCTAGGTAACTTGCCAAACAGTTTTATGCGGTGCCTTTCTCGATTCCGTGAAGAATGTTTTAAGTATTTATTATCCTCCAAACAGCGTCACCGAATCTTTCTGATGTTCTGGGTGATGTTTTTCTAGAGCTGCATTTAAATACCGGTCGAAACGCGGGATTACACTTCCTGCTGTTTCCGTTGTAAGTTACTGCTTATTACGCATGACATGACATTCAGGTCGTGAATGCTATGGCGGCGAAATTTATGACCACAACTTGCGAGACTACGGTCAAACGTCTCATTCTTCAGAATTTAATGCCCTATATAGCATCGAAAATTCCTTCCACCGAATTTAATCTTTTTCGCGGGAATGACAAATACTCTTGCAGTAAACTTTTAAGACCACCATCAACGATTGAACGTTTAACATAAGAGATTTTACATTTGACACACACACATGCGCGCGCGCGCGCAATATATACAAGATTTAAATCAAAATGAAGCAAATGAAAAACACTGTTATTTCTAAGCTTTAGCTTTTTTGTATTAAAAATCTGTTTCATTTATACATGGAATGAATAAAAACTAGTTTTATTTGTAAAATTCAAATCTTTCGTCCTTAGCCTTTACTCAGAGACGCTTCGAAAAAAATTTTTTTTTGGTTATTTCTGGTTAATTTCTGATTTCCAAGAGCTGCCAACATGATACCCTACGTAGTAGTCCAAAAGATTGAGGTCTGAGAAAAAAGAACGCTAAAATTTTTTTCAATGATTGCCGGCTGTCTTTTATTCTACGCTTATATTTTCTTCAAAATACAAGGATCATCTGAAAAGTTTTGAGCTCAATATGAAAACTTACTCATCAAAATCCGTTCTGGTATTATAATCATATGTTTTGAAAAATATCTGTGAAAATTGAAGCCATTTAGACACTCAGTCGTTTGACAAATTATTTGAGCCAGTTGATGTCAGTGTTTTTATTTGAAATCTCTATCCTATGAGCCAAACTTTAAACCTAGGAAACAGGAAAAAGTTGTTGGGAACCAAATCTGATAAATACTAATAATAATGAAAGATCAATCAATTCGAACTGTAATTTGTAAATTTTTTGTTATGATAATTGCCGATATTTGATTTTTTTTATTTTTACAAAAACACTGACATCGACTAGCACAAATGATTGTCAAACAACAACTGACCGTCCAAAATAGCTACAATTTTCATAGATATCTTTCAAAACATGTACGATTCTAGTATCAAAATGTTTTAACGAATAATAGCATCTTTAGGTTAAGACTCAAAACTTTTCAGACGACCCTCGTATGAGCAAGAGTTGAAGATAATAAGAATTGTTAGAAGATAATAAGGATCATCTACAAAGATTTCTGGAGCAAGGACGTGCTTTTCTAGAATTTTGCGAATTGATATTAATCTTGATCCCTCTTTCAACAATTAAACAAATAGCCTTTTTTGGAGACTGCAGCTTAAACTATTAGGTATTTTGAAACCGTGAAATTGTTAGATTCTTTGGACTAATGTTATACAACTACGTAGAATAAATATGATTATTTTAGGAATTGTAGGACTGCTGCATGAGAAACATTTTCTTATCAGAGAATAAGATTGTCAAATCGGTGAACTGTTTCGACAAATTTTTCGCGAGAGTTTTTCTTTTCTTGTGTGAGTTTTTCTTCTGATTTAAAGCTCAGTAAGAGTATGAATTCATTGTTTATAGGCTTTCATACACTGTCGGATGATATTATTTATGGTCTCCAACGATGTATGCAGATTTTTGACCAATTTTCTTTGAGAGCGCTTTGGATTGCGCAAAATTTCGATATTCAACATTATTAATAAGTTTTTCGATATGAACAGTTCGCCGGCTTCCTCGCCCCCCCCCCCCCAATTAGTTGAATTAAAGCTTACAGTCTTGCGGAAACGTTGAATAGTATGATGGATTAATGATTGATGTTCCTTTGCTTTTCGTCATCAGCAAGAACTATGCTTGCATCTTACCTTGTAAATAAGGTTTCATAATTCGTTGCAAGTACTCTATCTTAACTAATTTTGACACGAAAATTAACAAAACTTGCAAATTAAGCTTAACAGATAATAAGCTTTCAAAACCTGACTAATAGATAATATTACTTGCTCTTTTATTCTGTGCAATAAAATACTGCAAATTTATGTCTCATCTTTAAATACTCCCTGTGTGCTGCGCACACACACACACACACACACACACACACACACACATTTTTTATGTTTAATTAAAGAAAAAGGAAAAATAGGAATTATTGCAGATTTTTAATTTTACTTTTAAATTACAATATTAGATCTGTAAGTAATTTTCTATAGTTATGTAAATTTTTGCAATAGAGTTAAGAAATTATTTGACATAAAATTTATCTTCTATTCAATTGAAAAAAGAAACCAAAATATGAATTATTGAAAATTTTAAATTTTGTTTTTAAATTATCTGCAAATATATGTGTACACACACACACACACACACAGTATATATAATTTTTTATAGTTGCATAAATTTTTTTATAATAAAAAAAAGTGAAATTTTTAATAAACTTTTCATATCAAGATATAAAGATGTAAGACGAATAAATTACGTTTTTCTGAAATTACGGAAAAGATTTATACGCCGGAGGATTAATAAAGTTAAAACATTACCTTGACAGGAAAATCATAAAATTTTTGCAACATTTTCATTCAGAAACTTCTTGCTCCAGAAGTTTCACTGTTTTATTATTAAGAGGAGTAATGAAATTACCTCAGAACAGTGTTTCCCTATTGTGTATTTTAATCCCCAGTAATCTTTGTTGTCATTTCATTTATTAGGATATCCGTTACAGAAATGTTACAGAGACTGTAATGAAAATCACTCATTCAATATTAAAATAAAAAAATCATACTCGACGAATATTACTAGTAATTCTCTTAGTACTAGAATGATTAATATGGATCTCGCTTGTCCGGCTTCGGATTTCAATTAGCTTGAATGGCACGTGACTCCTATGATAGGTCACTTGTCATGATCTGGTGAAATAGGATTTAGTTTTGTTTAGCTAGACAGTATTTTTCCAACGTGTCCATGTGTTCGTAGATTAACTCGGAAAAAGTACATTACTGTTGAATTTCCGAGCAAGAAATTGTCATCGCTTTCATATTTGTGTTTTTATATAGATATAGACACCTCTATCATGATTGTGAAACCGATGGAGTATCAGAATAATATTAGCTGACCATATATTAGCCGACTGTCTCGATTCTAATAAGATTGTCGATAAATTTAATCCAAATAGAAAATGGACTAAGTCAATTATTTATAAAGATAAGAGAGAAATTTATGTCTATATATGTCTATATATATCTGTACATTGAAAAAAAAACATTGCTAAAATGCTATAATTAAACTCTCCGTCAGCAATATGAAATTTTCACCTTTTGTCCGCAATCGAGATCTTTGAATGAACTTTAGTGTAAATTTTTATATTGTTTCGGATTATATAAGAATCTGAAAAAATTCTCACATACTTGAATTATAAAAGCTTTAATAACAAATTATTTTTTAACAACAAATTAATTTTTACTATCATAGAAATTGAGTTAATTTTTATACATTTAAATTTATTTATAAAAATCATCTGTATCTTTAAAGTCCAATATTGCTAGCGGAGATAATTTATAATTATTTTCGGTGTTGTATATTTTTTTAATGTGTGAAACTACAAATATAATTATTAATAATATTATAGCAATAAGAGTTATAAAATTTCTAATCGTAATTATTTTACTAATTCCTTTTTCTGAATATAGGCTGCAATTATTTATGATGTGATTGAATTTTCTCTTGCATGAGAGAGAGAGAGAGAGAATGAGAGAAAGAAATCTAAAGTCTAATAAAATTAAATCTAAAATATTGATTAGGGCGAAACGATGGCTCTTGCAGCCACATACTGTATGTATATTGCATATTAACTCTAAATGCGACGTACTTGGTGTTCGCTGAGCGAATCTTGGTCGAAACTTCTGGCGTTGTCGCGGCCTCGTTCTTTTCCCACTGGGAGAAATAAGATTTTACCTTTCTTAAGTAGCCCGAGAGAGTGGAAGAGAGAACATTATTGGTTCATTTCTCGACCGCAGTAACGTGCAGTAAGAACAGCGCAGTATCGAGCTACATATAGCGCTGTTTTCCCACTAGAATTCAACTCACTCCAGTGGATACGCTTAGGCGACGTTAGAGCCGTACTTGCATGGATGCACTCGCGCCGTTTTCCGACGTTAAATCACTTCTACACGCGATTATACGCGGGCTGTATACAAGCCGGCGCGGTGCGAGTCTGGCGGAACTGCAAAGTACATGTAAATTGCCTGACGCACTTCGTAAATTCCGCTGTCTTGCGGAGTAATCGCAATCTTCCCGGAAAGCCGGGAAGGATAACGCGAAACGGGAAAGTATCTCGCTGAATCTCGTCGCGGGCCTCGAGGTAAAAGAGAAATATCTTTCATCCCTATGCTGCACGTTACACACCGTTATAGAACTTACAACGTACGAACTGTATTAC